CAGACATCACTGGCCGTAGGGCAGCTCGTGACCTGGTTTATTTTGGCTACAGCAAAGCACATCCTTGCTCCTCGAAAGCAGCTGATGAACTCTCTGCTCCCAAATCAGCCTTTGGGCAGCTGCCACATGGACCAGGCTAGATCCACCACTCTCCTCGCACCCCACTGCTATTAAGCTACTCAGAGTACATTTAAATTAAATATTAGCAAGAAATTGTTTTCTGTGAGGGAGGGGAGGCCCTGGCACAGGGTGCCCAGAGCAGCTGTGGCTGCCCCTGAATCCCTGGAAGTGTCCAAGGCCAGGGCTTGGAGCAACCTGGGACAGTGGAAGGTGTCCCTGCCCATGGCAGAGGATGGAATGAGGCAGGCTTTAAGGTCCCTTCCAACACCAACCATCCTGCATTTCTGTGATTCTAACCCATCCTGCTTGGCTTGGACGGGATAAAGACAAAAATCAACTACAAAAACAAGGCAGAAACGCAGGGAGCTGTAAAACCAGGCGGGTGCGGGGCCTATGGAGCAGCGGCTTTCCACAGGGATGGAAAGCCGTGGGCCCGCGAACACCGGGGCCAGCGGGGCTCTGACAGCGCGGTGAGCCCTAACCGGGGCCATTAAAGCCGCGTTCCCGCCGCGGTTAGCGGGGTTTGCCCCTCTGCCCGGGGACCACAGCGCCGGCCCGGGGCTCCCGGCACCGGGGGCCGAGGCGGGGCCCGCTGGGGCCCGCAGGAAGCGGGGCCGAGTGGCGGGGCTGCGGGCGGGGACAGCGGGGCCGGGCCGGAGGGAGCGGGGGTAGAACGAGGGAAGGAGCGAGGGGCGATCCACGCCCCGGGCGCGCCCGCCGCGGGCCCGGCCCGGCCGGGACCGTACAAAGGGCGGGGGCGCGGCTGGCAGGTATGAGCGGACTCACCGGGTGGGGCGGCGCCGCCGCCTCGGCGGACGGACGGCGGGACGGACGGAGCGGGGCTGAGCGGGGCGGCGGAGGCGGGACCGGGACCCGGCGGGGCGGCGGCAGCTGTGGGGCCGGAGGGGAAGCGGAACCGCCGCGCGTGGCCACAGCCCGCAGGGGCGGGGCGGAGCATTGCCGCGGGGGCACCGCCCGCCGAGCGCCGGAAAATGCGTCACCGCGGGGCGTGATGGGAGTTGTAGTCCGTTCCTTGCTGATGGGAATGTCTTTTATACCCACAAACTATATCTAGTTTTTATGGTCATTTCTCTATATATTTTATATATAAATATAGTTTATATATATTAAATTATATATTATTATATAGAAATAATATATTTCTATAAATATATTTTTATTTATTATTAATATATATTATATATATATTTTATATATATTTTATATATAAAAATATTCTATTTCTCAGAGTCAAAGAAAAATAAGAGTCTGAAGCATTAAAAAAATTATATATATATTATATACATAAATAATAATTATATTATGTATTTTATAATAAATATTACATATATATTATGTGTGATATAATAATATGTATTCAATCTATAAAACACATATATTTAATGTATATATTGGCTATCATATACATCTTATATGTAATTAAAGTTATGCATAATATATTACACTATTAATATGCTAACATTTATTACATAATAATAAATATATAAATATATTGTAAATAACATTTATTATATAATATATATTGGTTTATTATATATGTTATATATAAAAATATGTATTATATGTATAACATTTCTCTTTTCTAGGCCAGTTGGATCTCTTCATTTTCTCTGGCTGTGGACAATAACCAGCTGCAGGAGGTAAAGTCCACCGCTATAAAAAATCCAGCATGAAATCTAGCATCCATCTAAACTGGCTCTCCTCCACCCTTGCTTCCACCTTGTGATGCTTAAATTAGAGTTTATTTCCTCAATGCTTTATTTTGCAAAGAAAACCGGTTTGGCCCCATACGGGGGCTTCCTGCTATGGCTGAGTGTCTCCTCCAGGTCTGTCCTGGCTCAAGGACATTTCCACAGGAGTGCGGAAGGGACCTTAAAGCCCATCCAGTTCCATCCCTGCCATGGGCAGGAGCACCTTCCACTGTCCCAGGTTGTTCCAAGCTCCATCCAACCTGGCCTTGGACACTTCCAGGGATGGGGCAGCCACAGCTTCTCTGTGCTTGGCTCTCTCTTCCTTTTGCACTGGCAGAGGCTCATTTTGTATCTTCTGTATGGAGACACCTGAGAAAAAATTAACCCTCCTCTCACCAACTTGTCAAGTGCTTCTCAGAGCCCAGCTGGCACAGGGGTCACATCACTGGTGACAGCAGCAGGACACAGAGCAGCTCTCTGTGCTGCCACTTCCAGTGGCACAAGCCCCAGTTGGATACGCAGCTTCCAAGAAATCCAGTAGGAACACAGCTGGGAAAGCAGTGTATGTGCCCTCAAGGTTTCTCCCTCAAAATTCCTGTGACCCTTTTAATCTTCCATATGATTTCTCCAAGCTTCCACCTGCCCTGGGGGCTGGATTTCACCTCCTCTGTCTGCCCAGGTTTGAAGCAAGATCCGATTTTCCTCTCAGAAGGAGCAGGACACACACCAGGCAGCTCCTTTTCCCCAGCTCTTGGGGGAAAGGATCCCTGGACACCTCAATTCTCCGTGCAGGTCCAGGCACATCTGAATTTCCAGCTTGTAGGTTTCAGCCCACACCTGTTGGCTGTCTGCTCCTTCAGAACCTCTGCAGAGCCACACAACACTTCTCCCTGCAGATGTGCCCGTTTTCCAGGAATGGCATTCCCAAGTGACCCTGCCGTGGTGCTGAGGTGGCTCCGCTCCAATCCCCCACAGGCACAGCCATCCTTTCACTTCTCTTTCCATGTTTGCTCCTTTCCCTTTCTGACTCAGCTTATCCACTGCTAATTCACCTCTTCAACACCCCTGGAGAATCCACAGAAGGTTTGTGGCTTCACCCTTCTCTCAGCTTTCCTCCCCATCCCTCCTCATCTCTCTGTGCTGCCTTGGCCTCCTACCCCCAACCCCTCTCAGCTCCATTTGCAGAATCCTGACTCCCCTCCCACCCTTCTGTCTCCTTCCCCAGGAACAGCTTTTTAAATAAGCTAGGAAGGGTTTTTTGTGGGTTTTGTTTTGGTTTTGTTTTTTTGGGTTTTGTTATACCCATTTCTTTGTGATTCAGAAAGCCTTAATTCCCAACACAACCTTTAGCACCTCATCCCCTTTTCTTTCCCTGCTCTGATTCAGTCATTACACATGTTCAAAATGGGGGTGGTTGTGCCCAACTGAACATCTCATTCCTGTCTCCAAAACTGTCAGAATTTTTGTACAGGACTTACAGCTCTTCCTCTGATCTCTGTGATCCCTCTGGGGCTGGCACTTGAATCCTCCTGCATGGCACACCTGCTGAATTCTGTGCTGGCTTAGTGACATCATTTCCTGCTCTGACAGAGAGATTCACTGGCAAATTCCTTTGTAATTAACACTGCTATGGTTATCAGACTTATTTACAGCTTGTAAGGAAAAATGTGTCTGCCATATTTATAACACAAGTGCCCTGGATTTAAAAACAGCAAATATTTGCCACAACAAAAACCACCCCTTGTGAAACTCTGCCCTGCCTCTCATATTTTACATTAATCAGAATCAATTATGTTCAGTTGAAAAGGTGATTGAGAGCAATCTCGATATATACTTTATTTCCATATTTTTTCCACCTGCAATATTTTTCTCATTTGCCCAAAGGATGTTCCCATTCCCCTTCCCTAGGTTTTGTCAGGGAGATTGATTTAGCTGAGGGATTCAATCTGTGATTTTCAACTGGTGTTAAAAAACAGGCAATGAAGTCCTGTCCCTCAGCTCTGGCAATCTGGGATGTTCCCGTTCCAAGGGTCAGGCTGCAATACAGAGTTACCCGTATAATACAGAGCACAGAAACAAACTCAGCTCTGGGAATTAAACATCCCACTTTGGAGACAAGTGACACAGTGCTGGTGGCAGTGCTGACAGGGTTGAACAGCCCAAATCTCTTTTTAATTGTTTCCAACCTGCCCTGGAAGTAGTCACAAGGAATTCACTCTGCTGAATTCCAGCAGGAAAAAGATGCCCAAGGGACCCTGAGGCTACAGCTGGACATTGATGGAAGGCTGCACACCGAGCCCCTGGAAGGGATTTTCATTCAGCCCCCTCACACACACACACACACATACACAGATTACCTGCCTTGACTAATTTACTCGAGGTTTGTCGGGAATAAAATCTATTTTCTCCACAGGGAGGTTACCGTGAGCTCCCAGTGCCACCTACTGACAACTGGAGATAGCACCCGAGCTCTGCTGCTCCAGAGCCTCTCGGCTTTTCCATTAGGTAATTTCCCCTCCATTTCCTTCTATTTATCAACTGTCCCGGAGACTGAATGTGGATCTTCTAAATATTTGCTTCTAGTCACTATCCCGTCCCTCACTTTCATCTTCCAAGGGTCTCTTTCCATTCATGAAATGAGATGAAATTTCTTCAAATTTTCTGAACTCTTTCAATTCTGACCAATTTCTCAGCCTGGAGAAAAGGAGGCTCAGGGGAACCTTCTGTCTCTCCACAACTCCTAACAGGAGATGGAGCCAGGTGAAGGTTGGGCTCTTCTCCCAGGGAACAGGGACAGGACAAGAGGAAACAGCCTCAGGCTGTGCCAGGGGAGGTTCAGGTTGGATATTGGGAAAGGTTCCTCTTGGGAAGGGCTGTTGAGCCCTGGCACTGCTGCCCAGGGCAGTGGTGGAGTCCCCATCCCTGGAGGGATTTAACAGACGTGGATGTGGCACTTGGGGACATGGCTTAGGAGTGGCTTTGGCAGCACTAGGGAAATGGTTGGACTCAATGATCTTAGAAGGCTTTTCCAACCTTAATGACTCTGTGATTCCAATCTGGCCAAGAGCAGCCAATCCTTCACAGTTATTAGGATGGGAGAGATTATTGACATGTCCCAGGTAGGCACAGAATGCACAAATTCATACATAACCCATCTGCACGACAAGCTTAAAATTCAGAAAATTTAATGACTCATTATTAATGTTTTCCATACCTTTAATAACCAATCCCTGAGTCAAGAAATACAAACAGGTCTGCAAGAGGCAGCACTGTATTGCAAACAAGCCAGGAGGAGGGAATGGGAGGCCCAAATCCACTCCTGACTGTTGCCTCATTGCCCACAGCAGTGCTTTCAGCTTTTTGATGCTTTTTTCTACTCTCCATCTGCTTTGGATATTGACAACACCCTCAAAATGTCTTCTGGGCTGTGGAAGGCATTTGTAAGCATTATGAGCCAAAGGAACTATAATACATTGTGGGACCCTCACACCCCCAGAGACATAAATAACAGTGGAGTAGGATCCATTCAGGAATCCAGTGCAATATCCAGTTAGGTTTGCTTGGTGGAGGTCAGACATTCCGTATTTCCTCAGGTCACTGTGAGAAGTGTCCATACTTGCAGGCAGCAGCTAGGATGAGGCCAGAGCAGAGCCCCATGGTGAGCAGGGTCAGGGCACACACCAGGGAACTGTGCTCCCTGAGCCCCACAGGAACTCTCAGCATCAATTCCTCATATGCCTACAAAGAAAAATAAATATGTAACACGCATTTGACCAGCTGGTTCTTTTTGATTGCAACTGAGAGGATTAGGAACCAGACCCTGATTTAATTTGCCCTTGGCTAAAGCTTCTTCTGAGATTCAGTATCAGAACCAGGATGGGACAGCCCCTTTAATTCATAGCCACTGCTGCACTGCACAGCTCAGGAAATGGATCTGTATCCCTGTATCTCTGCTCCTACTCCAGCCACTGAGGGTACACTGAATGCTGCAGGGAGAGCAGCTCCCAAAGTGAGCTCAGATCACTAAGGAGACAGATTTCTCCAAAGTGAACAAATATTTGGTTTTTCATGGATACAGGAAGCTGCAAAATGTTTATGGGCAAGAGCGACAGATGTCCCAGCAGTCTGCAGGTATCTTAAATATAGGAAGACACGTGTTACAACAACAGATTATTTTATTATATAAATTAGTCTATTTTCTGAATCTCTACACTAGTGTGTACACTTCTGAACATCAAGGACAGTTGTTGGCCACACTAAAGATCAAACTTTCCTTGTTTTTGAACACAATAAGAAACTTCACCTTCTCCTAAACACTCACCCAAACAGGTAAAAACCAAGTAAATAGAAGTGGCCTTTTTTTAGGATGCTGCTCCTTGAATCTTTGCAGTTTTACCGTTACTTTAGTTAGATCATCATCTTCCACCTTGCTACTCCTCTGAAGCACCAATGTTGTAAAGATTTTTCTTAACTTGACCAGTGCCAATTATACCCTAGGATTCCAAGTAAACTAGTAAGGGGGAAAAAAAGGGTCAGGAGAGCACAGAGTCACTGTAAGCACAGTAGAAGGGCAGGATGACCCCCCCATTATTAGCCAGTCAGAAAGGAAGAAAGGAGCCTGACAAAGGGGGAACCACACAGCCAGTCTTTTAATGATTAATTCCTGTGCTATAAAAGGTGTTAATCACAGAAAAAAGTCAGCAGTTGTTAAAAAGAACCAGAGGAAGAACTCACAAGTCTGTGTTTTGTGCTGTGCCACTGACAGGGACTGGAGGTGTCAGATGGGCAGGGAGTATCCACTTCAGCAGGTTCCCAGCACTCTGCAGACAGGTGACCTAGGGAAGGCATTCCTGCATCACCAGAAGTCAGGCAGGATAAGCAATCTGGCCTCCAAGTTTTTTTTCCAAATATGGGTTCTTTTCCCTCACAACAGCTTGATAGAATCTATTCCCTGGGAGCCAAGTGGTGAAACACCTCTGCATGGTCAAAGTGATGCTGGGCAGTCCTTGCTGTGAACTCTACAACTCTTCCCTTCCAGATACAGCAGGTATCCAATAAAGAATCTCACCTGTGTGGTATCTTGCCCTTTCTGTTCTTAACAAGGCAGAGAATTCCTGGTTAGTGTGCAGACTCCTCAACTTTAGCCATGTAGTTAGAATTTCCCCCAAAATAAGTCCCCCAAATAAATAATGCTGTTTCTCTTGGCCTCCTGTCAGCACATAAAAGATCTCCCTTTAAAGATACTTTAAATCCTTTCCCATTAATCATTAATAATAAATGTTTTCCTGCTCATAACTAATAAATATGGCAGAAACCCAGGAAGACTTAACACCCCTTTGTTAAGTGAGAGGGTACTCCTGCCTGTCCCTATGCTTCTCCCAGAAAAATCATTGCTCAAATGATGCACAAGTAAAGAAAAAGGAGCTGAAAATCATTAGTGTGCTTGTCTTGGCAGGAACGATTTTGTGAAGGGGCACAAAATTTGGAACAAAAATACAGGATTTCATTGTTCACATAACTTGAAATATTAATTGTAGTGGATATTAGGTTCTTGTTTCATCAGAGTTTGAGACTCCAACCATTCCAAGCTTCAGGCAGTTTCCTACATTCCCCCTTTATATAAAGGGAAGGCAGCAAGAGAGTTCTAGACTACTTTGATTACTCTAAATAGGTGACAGTGGCTATTAAATACTGCCTCCAGAGCTCCAGCTGCCAAGGGAGAAGCAGTCAGAGCAGGGGACCTTTGGCAAACCAGGGCCTGCTGGGATCATGACAACCATGGACCATGACAACTGCCATATCTTCCAGCTGGAAGAACCCAAGCAGCACAGGGGTACAATGGCAGCACCACAACACAGATCAGACTCTGAGAACCTCCTGCCTTTGACCAGGCAGCACCACTCAGGGAGGAACACAATGAGGTCTTCATCAGGGCATGCTCTCTGCTTATGTTCATGCAACTACCAAGATTTCCATCTCAAGCACAACCAGATTCCAAGCTCAAGATTGCCCCAGAGCATCAATGAGAATCTCACTGTGGCAGCAGCAGAGCAGCACCTCTGGGTTCTCCAGAACAACCAAGGCTTCCCGTGTCCCCTCGGCCGGCCGGTGGTACCGCGCGTGCACGGGCACGGCAGCGCAGAAACAGCGGGAACAGCGCGCGTCCGGCTCCAGGAACAGCAGCAGGAGAAGATCCCTGGCCAAGTACTCAGGAGCCTCCACGTCAATGACATCAGGAAATAACACTGCCTGCAAGCAGGGAGATACGGCTGTGGTTGTGATGGAAATCAAAAACCATTTCCCTCATTCCGACATTGAGCTCGATTTTATGGTCAAGATGATTAAGTTGGGAATTCCAGCCTTCAAAAATACCTTTTCAAGACTGAGTGACTCCTATGTGTGAAAAGTTCAGTGTCACTATGGCTATAGCTAAACACGTGAGTTGTCAGCTCAAGGATACGTGTCAGCAAGGCGAGACCTGCACCTCAGGCATGCCAAGGGCAGGAGCTGCCCACAGCCATGTTTTAGACAAACTAAGACCTAAGCAGATTAAAGCCAGAGCCTTTGCACATCTTTCTAACGTGAAGCAAAATGTGAAGCAAAGACTGGAAAGCAGCACAGAAAGCTAGGGTGAAAACAAAGCTGGGAAGCTGCTCAGTCCAAACACGCAGCACGTGACTTAGAGCTCACCAGCACGTCTTTGGGGGTTTCCCTTCCACCTTCTGAACCCAAACCTTTTAAAGCTGCTCACCTGGGGCTAAGAAAGGAGCAGCAGCTCCCTGGTACATCACCTGTGTGTGAGAATATCAGCAGCACAGGGCCAGGGATTGCTGAGCGAGCTGAGTTACAAAGAGACACCAAGAAGATTATATTGTTTGGCACCTCCTTCCAGGAATTAATCATCTTGGTTCAACAAGCCAGAAAATGACCAGACATTACAACTCCCTGAGTCCTTACCTGACTCACTGCCAGATCTCCTGGCGTTGGGGCCATTACCTTTGTTAGATTGTGCTGCTGCAGCGTTGCCAGCTCATAGGGATCCACGTAGATTCCCGGCGGCAGACGCAGTTGCGCTGCCACAGCACATCCTCCTGCATCCTCCCCAAGCTCTACCTTCACCAGCAGGTCCCTTCAAATGGCAACAGGAGCAAAAAATTTACATCCCCACTTAAAAGTCGGCACAAGACTCCCAAGAGACATTTCTCAGATGAGATGAGAGGCAGCTCTCACACTGTGTGCACCTAATTCCGATCATGCTTTGCTGTCCAGCCTTCTTCACCTCAACTCCACAGCCATGGCCAAAACCAAAATTTGCTGATGTCTCAGAACCACCAATACCTTCCACAAAAGTTTTAGAAAGGGGCCTCCTATTTTCCCTCCACTACAGCTTGTTAATCCCTTGATCCTGTTAATACATTCCTGACGTATGCCCAGGGATCATGGCCCAGGGACTTGATACAAATGCACATGAAAAGAAGAGAAGTTTCTTCCAACAGAAGATCCCGTGGCACGTTATGCTGATGGAAGGCAGGGTGAGGACTCACCTGTGAAACCCCTCTTTCAGTAGCTCCTGTGTGACAGTGGTGTCCCGACAGGCTGCCTGCACATCTATGGTGACACAGAGCCAACAGTGTAACAGCACGGTGATCACAGGGGCTGCCAGCTTCAACAAGTGCAGTTTTATAACTCATGAACGTCTCAACTGCAAACCCTCTCCCAGAAGAAGGGAAGCAATATTTGACTCTGATCAAAAAGCAGAAGAGGTTGCTTGGTTCAGTGGCCAAGCCATACTTCCCAAGTCCAGAGTCATAGGGTGGTTTGGGTTGGTAGAGACCTTAAAGCCCATCTTTTTCTAACCCTCTGCTTTGGGCAGGGACGCCTTCCCCAAGACCAGGGTGCTCCAGGCCTGTCCTTGAACACTTCCAGCCACAGCTGCTCTGGGTAACTGTGCTAGAACCTCACCACCCTCACAGGGAAAAATTCCGTCCCGGTAACCCATCTAACCCTGCCCTCTGGCAGTGTACAGCCATTCCCCCTTGTCCCCTCACTCCATCCCTTGTGCAAAATCCCTGTCCAGCCCTCTCGGAGCCCCTTTAGTCACTGGGAGGGGTTCTAAGGTCTCCCTGAATCCTTGTTTTCTCCAGGCGGAACACGCCCAGCTCTCCGGAGCCTCTCTCTCAGCCTGTCTCCGGAGTAGAGGGGCCGGGCCCTGCCATTCCTTCCCGACGCGGTTCCCCGCGGGCACTCACGGAGGGCGCAGAGCAGCGCGCCCAGCCCGGCCCCGACCCGCATCGGCCCCCGCCTCCCGCCCGCCATGGCGGCTCGCTCCGCACGGCCCCGCGCGGGCTGTCCTTAGCGCCGCCTGATCGCGCGGGGGCCCTCCCGCCCCTTGCTCTGATGCGCCATGTCCGGCAGGCATTGGTGAGGCCAGCCCTTAGGGGACCTTCGGCGGAGGGGGCCTTTACCGCTGGGGCTCGGCGGCGCCGGCGGAACCATGGCAACCGCCCAGGGAGGTGGGACCGGCCCGGGGGAGGAGCTGGAGCAGGAGGAAGAAGGAGAGGCTTTCTGCGTCGCCCGAGGTGAGGCCGAGAATGTAAGGGAGACAGGGAGCTCCTGGAGTGGGGCCAGCGGAGATGCTGAAGGGCCTGGAGCATCTCCGTGCCCAGGAAAGGCTGAGGGAGCTGGGGCTGCTCAGCCTCGAGAGGAGCCCCAGCTGAGAGGAGCCCTTAGCCCTGGGTGTCCCTGTGAGCAGGGAGGGCTGCGAGCAGGGACCAGGAGGAACGGGCAGGAACTGACCCCAGGAAGTTCCACCTGGACATGAGGAAGAACTTTCTGGGTAGTGCCTGAGCCCTGGACAGATCCCAGAGAGGGTGTGGAGTCCCCCTCACCGGAGATATTCCAGAGCTGTCTGGACACACTGTGTGCTATGTACTCAGGGACTGCTGGAGTAGGGAGGTGGCACCCAATGACCGCTGTGATCCCTTCCAGGCTGGCCCACTCTGGGAGAGGCAAGAGGGATCAAGCCGGCCCTGTCCTGCTGCCCTTCGTGCTCAGAGTTCGGGCCTCGGCCGCGCCCCTCTCGCGGCAGAAAAGCGGCTCTGAAGGGCACCGGGCACGGCCCTAAACCACAGCCAGCTGTGCTGCCGAAGCGCTGGAAGCCGCCGGTCACTCCGGCAGCGGAGGGCTCAGCCCGGGTTACCAGGAGATCCAAACGCTCTTTCCCACAGATCCAAAGAGCTGCTCACGTTTGTGTTTCTCATCTTCATAGAATCCCAGAATGGTTTGGGTTGGATGGACCTTAAAGCTTCTCTCGTTTCACCCTCTGCCACGGGCAGGGACACCTTTCACTACATCATGTTCCTCCAAATCCCATCCAGCCTGGCACTGGAAATTGTCACTATTAAGAACATTACTGCATGTTTGAGCTCTTTCCTATGTGATTTTTTACAAAGGAGGCAGTGTTTCCAATTCTGCCTCAAAGTAGCTTTTCAACATTAATGTGATTTTTCTTGGTGTGGAGAAATACATTGATTTTGGGGGGTAAAATGTTACTTTGCCTTATTGCAGTCTGTAGGGCAGTTGGAGATCACATTTGACATATTTCCACTCGTTTAAAACCAAGGTAAAAGTTACACCTGCACTCAGTGCTGTCCACTGAGTTGGGAAACAGGATCTGCAGCAGATTTGGATATTTAATTTCATAATTCATTTCCCTGGGCTTTAAGGTCCCTTCTGACCAAACCACTCTGTGATTCTGTGATTTTGCTGAACTCTACTCCTTACAAAAAGACCAGCACTGAGAGACTCTCCCACTTGCTTTCCTTTTTCCCTCTTTTCCAGGGAGCATTGCTGAGGGCTCTGATGGAGCCACAGCCGGTGCCACGATGACCTTCAGCGCACAGAAGTGCGGGATCTGCTTCCAGCCCCCATCCATCATCCTCATCTACAGAGACCACGGCCAGGACAAGACTCGCCAGCGCATCATGCCCATCAGGAATTTCTCCAGGTTCTCAGGTGAGGTGCTTTCATTCCTGTCTGGCTCCCTCCAGATGCTTGGAGAGGAACCCATTGGTAGCAGCATTGTTGGTAACCACTGCAAACCTTGTAGCAGCGTGCAGGGAGGGGCTGTGCTGGGGTAACGTTTCTCCAAGGAGCCCAAAGCTACATCTCAATCTGAGCAATGGCTCTCTGAGCCTGGAGGGTTTGGAAAGACCCCTGGGGAGGGTTTGGCAGAAGATGTGTGTGTGGGAAGAGGTTTGTTGCAGCTGCAGGTGCCTGTGTTGGCTCTCCCCAGACTGCAGCAGGGCTGCTGAGCAGCTGAAGAACAACCCTCGGCACAAGGCCTACCTGGAAGGGGTCTCACTGCGCCAGCTCCAGAAGCTCTACAGTTTGCTGAGAGATCATTTGGAAGGACACAGCCTGGCTGAGAGCTTGGAAAAGTTTCGGCAGGAAGAGACCATTGACCCAGAGGAGGATATGAACAAATTGGATGATAAGGAACTGGCCAAAAGGAAGAGCATCATGGATGAGCTCTTCGAAAAGAACAGAAAGAAGAAGGATGACCCTGACTTCGTTTACAACGTTGAGGTGGAGTTCCCACAGGATGAGCAGCTGGAGTCCTGTACTTGGGACATGGAGTCGGATGAAGAAATCTGATTCCAGACAAAGATAGGCAGGTCAGAGACAAATCTCAGTAGGCCAGCAAGAGAGAACAATGTCTTCATATGTGTTCTGTCCCATGTTGGCTCAGGAGAACCTGAGGTGCCACAGCAATCCCAGGGTTAAGTGAGCTTTGTTTAAGAAGCCAGACTTGATTAAATGGAAACTGTGTAGCTGGGATTGTTGGCTGGTTTTAGTCTTTTCCTACATAAAAGAATTTTTAATTATTTAATCTTTCAATTTTTTACATTTCAGTGAGTTTTGGCTGAAAATGAAGCATTAAATATTCATGTCCTGAGGACACTGTTAAAGCTGTATTGTACAAATAGGGTGATTATTATTGCCTACTGGGAAGTTAAATATGTATCAGTCATTCTGGATAAATCAACTCTGCATTGAGAACATTAGTGTCACATTTCCCTAGCAATGCTTAAATCTCCAGTTTTAGCTTACACAAAAATATGTCCTTACATGTAAGAGAAGGAATATCTTGAAAATTAATTAGTCTTGAAAGTACTTTTGAAAACACAGTGATTTCAAACTGCTGCAATGGGGTGGTTTGGACCCTTACACTCCTGGATGATGCTTCCTCATAAGTGCTCACATGCTGGGAGAATGTGCTTAAAGTACCTGAAAAACCAGAGTGGTAGAAGGTCGAAGGCTGGGGGTGGTTCTAGAGTAAGACAAACTCATCCCACCAAAGGTTTTAATCCAGCTGTCTACCTTGGCTAGTCTCCACTAGATCAGTCCTGCTCTCGTGTAAGAACTGGAGTACTAAGATTAGGATTCTTTGGGAAATTTTACAACTCCAAAAGCTTCCTGAACCCTGTGAGCTGTGGGTGAGATGGGTTTTCATCCCAAATTGAGGGGCCTCAACAAACTGCTGTCTGACATAACTAAGAGGAGTCACTAGAGGAGCAGCTGGAAGAGCTCTCCTCCTACACCCCAAAATGAGAGTTGCTGCTGTGAAAAACATGGAACAAGTGTCAGTTAAACCACAGTGCTTTGCCCTCACTAGAGAGGATGAGGGAGCTCATGCTTGGCCTAGAGGGTCTTCAGTCAGGAGAGAAATGAAAACTGAGGCCTAACTTGCCAAAATTAAAAAATATGTAAAGACTGACTCAGCTCTCCCGCGACTAGAAAGGGTGTGCAGGGGTCTGGCACAGGCCTCACCTCAACAATTGCAACGTAACAACACAGAAAGATCTCCCACTTGGGAGGGAGAGAGCACGTGGGAACCTCTCCTCCACTCACAGCCTGCCCCCAGCTTTATCCTGGCCAGGCTCAGAAGACATGGCCTGTGCCCAGCCCTGGTCATGGCCTCTTCTCCAATGAGGGCTACGTGAGGCCAAATGAGTGCCTGGGTCATGAGGTTCCTGCTGGCCCGTTCTTCCAGCTCACCCCAGACCTTCAGCATGCAGCTGTACTGGTCTTCCCAGTTTGGGATCCTCTGTGAACTTGACAGGAAGGCATTTTACAGCCAGCTTTAGATAATGTGCATAGACATGAAATGGGACAGATTCCAAAACAGTCCCCTCAGCAGCCTCCTGGTAGAGCACATCCTACTAACTACAGCCCTCTGCACTTCACTCCCACTGCTCCTGACCTGCCTGGCTGCCCTCCCATCCAGACTGTGACATCTGCACTTCTATGAAGAGTGTTGTGGGACAAAGCCTTGCCGAGGCAGACAGAATCCGCCACTCTCCCCTTGCCTTCAGATCCGTCCATTTCATCCCAAGAAGAAAGCAGGTTGGGCAGGCATAACTTAGCCTCAGCAGTCCGTGCTGACTTCTTCCAGCCACGCTCTTTTTGTAGAATTGTGCTCCAAAGAACATTCATTCCATGGTTTTCCCAGCAGGAAACTGCCCTGTTCTCTCTGGGATTACCTTTTGGCCATTACTGAAGCTGGGTGGAACCCTTGGGCTCTCCAGTGACCAAGGACCTTCCCTGATCACCATGACAGTGAGAGCAGCTTTATAAGGACACCCACCATTCAGAAAGTGGAATCTCCTCTTGCTGCCCCGACATCCCATTCATACCACAGCTCCCGGTGAGCCATGGCTTTCCAGGCACTGTGATGAGGGAATGTTGAGTATCCTCATCAGCTCCATACAATTAAGAACACCCCCTTTTTATCCATGCCCTGGGCAGTGCAAGGTGCCCAGGTTCCTCCCTGTGTGTTCTCCCATGGCTGCACCACACACCCCACACTGGATGGAGCAGCAGCATTGGCTGTGGAGATGGGGAAGGACACCCATCCCCCTCTGAACCTAGCCCCAGGGAGAGGGGAGCTCACAGGGGCAGCCGCTCACCCTGCCAGCGAGGAGACACCGGAACACAGCGGGGGGATGGCACAGGGATGTATTTATAGGTCACTGCTGTCCCCCAGGGTGCAGCTTACGGGCAAAAGAAGAGCTGAAAGAGGCTGAGGGATTCCCCAGTTGGGGCCTGCTTTGGTTCTGGCTATCTCAGTCTAAAATTGGGGCAGAAAGCGGTCATTTCTGAGCCAGATCTGACAGCTGGGTTTCCAGAGCCTTTACTGCACTCAGCCCCAGTGGAGCTGCTGGGTTGTCTAGCAGGGTCCCACTCATCCATTTTTCCAGCCTTGCACAGCCACCAGCCACACCAGTCTCCCCCGTGACCCTAGTCCCACACCTGTGC